TTTTAGCTCCCACATATAAGTGAGAACGTGTGTTTTCTGTCTTTTATGTGCTTGGCTTAAAATGTCTGTAGTTTCCAGTAACTGACAACTAACTGCCCATTGATTAACCATATCTCATAGGGATAAATAAATTGGAGAAACTGATGACAGAGTATAAAATTTTTGCTTGTTGGATAGTTCTAATTTTATCATGATAAATAATAACTTAAAAAAGTGGGTGAGAAAGAAGAAACCACTGCTGTGGTGAGAGAGTGTAGATTTCAAACAGATGCTGAAATGGAAATAATTGCTAGGGAACAGCAGAAGAGGAAAGATTTTAATAACTATTGTTCAGGAATATAAATTAAATTGCCTTTAATTATTTACTGAGGTAAATATCAAAATTCTTTAAATATGCTTATTTTGGGTTGTTTTCATTTAAATATGTTAATATTAAATTATGTTTGATATTATTTAAACAAAGAATCCTAGAATTACACAGTACTTATGAATAAATGGATAGTAGAAGCCATTAAGATGAGTAGCACTGATAAACTTCAGACAGGTAAGACTGTCTTGTGAAAATGGACTTTATCTTTCTTCAAAATAATGAAACTAGCATAAATACCAAATATTTTATTTTTTAAATAGTTATCAAGAAGTTTTCAGCCTGAAACTTTACATTTGATGGAAAAAATATCTGTATACAATCTTCCAATATGCTTATTATTTTTGCCTTCACATAAGTAGACTGAGGAAAGTTGCACATCTAACCTTAGAAAACTATACAGAATACCTTTTCATGTAAGAAATATATATTATCAGTACTTGGAGATTTCACTGAAAACTTTACAAATGTTGTGATTGAGAAGACGTGGAAAGCCACCATAAAAGACCAGCCTGCTGAATTTGATGATAGACTGATTCAACGTATTTGCACAGCTAGCTAAAGAAACAGTGTTCCAATTAGATATACAAGATAATTTCAAAAATAGCTTCACCAACACAAACTTTAAAAGTACTCATTCAAACACAGACCACAGGAGAGGAGATCTTAACCAAGAGTCTTTAAGTACTCTGGTCTAATATTCCAAACCAATTAGGTCTATATTTGTATGGATATCACCAAACATACACCAATCTATCTAGCTTGCTTACTTCTATCCTATGTCTACATAAAACTTTATGAATATGAATTGGCTTTTCATGTCATCTAACTTTAGGAAGATATTTCACTTGCCATGGTGCGGAAAATATTCCGACAAATATGAGTTATATTTATAAATTAAAATAATAAATTAGCATGTACAATTACATAAATAGCCTCATGAGTTTTAGTTGTGAGTCAGTGTTGATGGATTATGTAAGGTCAGACTTCTAAGTATGCAAACTGGAGAAAGAAACATCTGAGTTGTGGTAATTCAATAAAATAATGAATTGTAATTTGTGAGATCACCTGTCAAACAGACTACCTGGGTGACCCTGATATTAAACAAGTTTTCTTTTATCTTTTAATCCTTTTTTAATATTTTCTTTTATCTTAATTTAAATTTTGTACAAAATACAGGAATACAAGCTTCATGAATTTCCAAACTATGGAAAGTTCTACTTTTCATGAAAAGAATTTCCTCTATACTCTGTACGTTAGAATATTTAACTCTGATTTATGATACTTGTATAGATAATACTATTACAGTTTCCTTAAAATAAAGCAAACAACAAAGTGACTATAATGAACAATAAGTTAGAATATATTTTCAAATAACTAAAAGAATAGAGTTGAAATGTTCCTAACACAAAGAAATGATAAATGTCTAAGGTGATGGATACCCCAATTACTTTGATTTGATTAATTTACATTGTATGCCCGTATCAAAACATCACATGTACCCTATGATGATATAGAACTCTTAATGATTAAAAATTTTTGAAAAGCAAACCAATGAAAAGGGGAAAAAAAAGGAAACAGAGGACTTTGATTTAGGATGATTCCATATTATTTTCTTTTGTGCCTTCATAAATTCACAATTTGTTAATTCTTTTGGGGTTTATCTTTTAACAGCAACTTTAAATGTTTCCTAAACAACTTTGTGAAGTGTCTGCAAATTAAGAAAAAATTGTATGGAAATATTTTTCCTTCAAGAAATACTAAATTAAGATACATAATACACTATCCTCCGATCTCCAATCTCCACAATATATTCAAATCTAACTTGCATTTATAATAATGTAAACTAACAACATACATGTATAATAAAGTAAAATGATCTGAAATGATATCATTATTTCCTAAAGATTTATAATGTGAGTTTAAATATTTGTCCTTTTTTATTATTCTGGAAGGAATTCATATATAAATTAATTTTTCTTGTAACATATATTAATTGAAAGTCTACTTCTTTGTTTATCTTAATATATCAATCAATCTAACCATCTACCTATAGTATTCAAGTAGCATGACTAGCTGAATCAGACAAAAGAAAGATGTAATATTTTAGTTTAACTATGTCTCTTCAGTGTATTAATGTTTAAAAGAGTAGAAAATCAATAAATATTTGTTATCTTTTGGTAAATTTTCATAATTTCATCAAAATAATCTATCCAATTCTGCCATAATGCTTGTCACAAATTCTATAGTAGATTTGTATACAACTATGTGGTTGATGTTAGATACATATTCTTGCTTAGAACTCATGATTGTTTAAATTAAACAATTTAAACAGTAAATAGCAAACTTGAATTTTGAAAGTAGCATTAACTAGGGAATTTCCTTTTCATCCATATCTGCAATAACATCATTAAAACTCCCCACAACATCTTACAAATGTGAAACAACCTGGAGAATAAAAACTGGAAAGATGATAAAGATTGATTAGTGGAAGCCATTGTTATCTTTGAAAAAATATTTAAAAGTTTATGCTTTTTTGATTGAATAAATATGCTATATTTTTTTCTTGCAAGAAAGTAAGTTCCTTGATAGTTCCTTATATTATATAGTTACAGAATTCTCATGTTATCCTTAAAACATGATCCAAGACATAAATTCAAATAATGAAAATTTTGTAACAAAATCAAAAATGTTTCACAACTCTATTGCCAAGTTTTCTTTGTGTCATTTAATAATATTTTTTGGTCACAGAGTGCTAACATTTCAATATTCACTTGTGTTATAACTCTTGAAAACTGATATTTAAATATCCACTTGGGAATTATATCATATATAAAGATCAGAAAGTATCTGAATTGCAACCTTAGAAATAACTTCTCTCCTACTGATCTTCTAAGAGATCCCAGAGAATAACAGAAACACACATGAAGGAAATAATGTGTCTCTGAATGATTTCAGCCTCTTGAAAAAAAATGATACATACTACCAGTTTTTAAATTAAAGTTTCTCACAAAATTCTCTGCTGCTATAAGTGTTCCAAGCTACTATATTACCAATTATTTTATCAATATAATGAATTATCTCAATTATGAATATGATGTTTTAAATATCAACCACTTGCTTTAGCATAAAAAATTTAAAAATAAAATCTCATAACTAATCTATTGGTTTTCTAATCTGGAAAATTCTTCTTTCTTTGGTGATAGCCCTATGTTACAGATGTAGAATGGTTTCTATGGGCTTCTTATAGGTGTTTGGGAATCCATTTAAGTATCCTAAGACAGGAGTAGATTTTATTGCTTGTCCACCTTATACTAGCATCTCATTACTGAGGCTGTCACATGCATATAATATAGAAATTAAGCACAATAGCAGCATACTTGCTCTGACAGCTCTGCATATCTGTGCAGCATTCATAGTGACATCTGCACAATTGCTATCTCATCTAGTCCTCAATTAATGTAATCAGGAAGGTGTACAATTCCCAATGCACAAATCACTGAGAATTGTAACTTTTACCTGTCTTTTCATTGCCTAAAATTAATTGTTTGCTCTTCACATATTCAATATATTTGCATAAATTTCCATATTATACCCCTCTGTGGTTGCTTTCCTGTCATCTTCTCTAAGGGAGTGAATATAAATGCCTTTTTCTTATTAAAATTAGCCATAAATTTCTGTTAAAAATATTTTTTAATTCAGAATAAATTAATTTCAGTGCCTAGTAATATCCTGCACATTAGATGTACTTAACATTAATAAAAATTCCAGTAATTAGTAGCACATAACAAAGCAATAAGTATTATTACAAAGATGTAGACTAGAGGCTTTATATTTATTTCTCTAGGTTTTTTCTATCTTCTAGTTTCAGTTATCACGTTGCACTTGATCTTAAAACAGGATGAATGTGTTTTGAATATTCTGAATATCTGGTAATTATTCTAAGACTCAATTAATTCATCTAATTAATCTCACTTTTAGAGAAAAATTGCTGGAAAAATCTTTGAAAAATATTATATTTTAATAAATTGATTTACTTGAATTTTAAGGATATTTAAAATCATGCAAATCCCATAATTATAATTATAATTATGGGATTTGCATTATAATGATTTAAAATCTTATTTAAGATGTTCCTATAGTTTTATTTAAAACAATGCAATGTGTATGGAGGTTGGGCTGCCCAATACAGATTAGTAAACCAACACTAAAATGTAATCGAGTTATATAATAGGAACATTTTATTTAATTACTTCATTTTTAAGTAAAAATTACTTTTCAGTAATTCTACTGCTAAAATTTACTACATATTTTATTATAATTTGGAGATGACACATTTAATTTTTTCTCAAAGTCTTTGAAAAATCCTACTTGTAAGATAAATGAAAAAAAAAAATCTTTGCCCATTGTTCCTAATACTGGTAATAGCAAATTAATAGTGTCCTAACATAGGTATTCACTTAGCTTTCTGTATTTGATCTGGTAAAAGGTTGGCAGTGAGGAGAAGAACCATGGATATGGTACAAGAGTAATATAAATAGATTATTTTAGGTATAGTTTGAGGTTTATAAAAATATACCAGAATATCCTTTTGCTAAATTTAATCTCCTTTTATTGCTTGCTTCATTGCTAGGTAAAAAGTGAAGGACAGGACACTAATGAAAGTAAGACAATTAGAAGTGAAGGAGGAAATGTGAGAACAATCTTTGGAAAGTGGAAATAAAGCTACTGGAAAAAGAAATTTCATATGATATTCCTATGAATATTTACATCCCAAGAAATAAAAAGAGAAAAAACACAAGGTAATTTGTAAGTCAGTGTTTTACAGGATTAAAACATGATAACTTGGTTAACAGAGAAAAGTTGATTGACTAGGCCCACAATTTCAAATAAACACATTTATAAAACATGTCTTTGAAGAATTATAACAAATTTTGTGAAAAGAAGAAAAATAATAAGACCATATTTTAAAAGTACATTCTTTTTGAAAAAAATTAGTATTATTCCACATTATTTTAATTAATTAATTAAATATCAGTAACTTGGTATTAGAGAGATATATGGCTAAGAAACAAATCAAATTACCTTAAAATATACCCAAATTAAATTAAAAACTTTCTGGAAAAGATTAACCATTCCACATGCCATTAAGAATTTTCATGGTTCATGAGAGAAGATCCAAAGATACATAAACTTTATGAATGACTTTGAGGGGTTTAAGACTTCAGTAGAGGAAGTAACTGCAGCTGCAGTAGAAATAGCAAAAGAACTTGAATTAGAAATTAAACCTGAAAATATGACTGAATTGTTGCAAAAATTAATCTCATGATTAAAATTGAGCAGATGAGAAGTTGCTTCTTGTGGGATGAGCAAAGAAAGTAATTTCTTGTGGAATCTACTCCTGGTGAAGCTGCTATGAACATTGTGAAATAATGGCAAAGGATTTAGAGTATCCCATAAACTTTGTTAATAAAGCAGTATCAGGGTTTGAAAGGATTGACTTCAATTTTAAAAAAAAAAGTTCTAATGGTACCAATGCTATCAAACAGCATCACATATTACAGAGAAATCTTTCATGAAAGGAAGAGCTAAACAATGTAGTAAACTTCATCATTGCTTTATTGTAAGAAGTTGCCACCCTCACTCTGATCAGTTAGCAACCATCAACATCAAGGCAAGACCTTCCACCAGCAAAAAGATTACTATTCTCTTAAGGCGCAAGTGATCATTAGCATTTTTTAACAATAAAGTATTTTTTGAGTAAGGTGCAATTTATTGTTTTTTAGACATAATGAATGATATTGCAAACTTAATATACTATAGTATACTGTAAACATAACTTTCATATGTACTGGAAACAAAAAATATTTTATGTCAGCTTATTGTGATATTTGCTTTATTGCAGTGGTCTAGAACTAAATCCCCACTATGTCCAAGGTATGCTTATTGATTTTTGAGTGTTGATCCAGCCCTGCAAATTTGTAATATTAATAAATACCTCTTAGTTGTGGTATATACTCATTTTTATACATTGTTGGATTTGATTTACTAATGTTTTGTTGAGGATTTTTGCATCTATGTTCATGAAAGATATTGGTCTGTACTTTGCCTTTCTTGTAATATCTTTGCCTGGTTTGGTATTAGGTGTCATAGAATGAGTTAAGGCAGTTGTTTAAAAGTTTGGTAGATCAATCAGTGAATGAATTTGTACCTGGTGATTTCTGTTTTGGAAAGTTATGAATTATTTATTTGAGTTACTTAATAGATCTGGACCTATTTAGATTACTTCCTTTGTGTGAGTTTTGATAGACTGTGTCTTTTAAGAAATTGACCTGTTTTGTGAAGTTATCCAATTTGTGTGCATACAGTTTTTATAATATTCATTTACTGTCTTTTTAATGTCCATGGGATCAGTAGGGATCACACCTCTTTTATTTCTGATATTAGTAATTTATGTCTTCCCTTTTTTTTTGTCTGTTAGCTTGGCTAAAGGCTTACTAATTTTATGGATCTTTTTAAACAACCAGCTTTTGGGTTTGATGACCTTTTATATTATTTCTTATTTTCAATTTCATTGATTTCTGCCTTAATTTTATTATACACTTTCTTCTGCTTATTTTAGATTTTCCTTTTTGTAGTCACTATGGTGGGAACTGAGATTTTTTTTAAAAAAATTATTTAATAATTCTTTTCTTTTCTTTTTTTGTTTTATTTCAGCATATTATGGGGGTACAAATGTTTAGGTTACATGTGTTGCCTTTCTCCCCTCCCGCCCCCTCAGGATTCAGAGCTTGAAGTGTGTCCATCCCCTAGATGGTGTGCATTGCACTTATTATATATGTACATACCCATTCCCTGTTCCCCCCTCTTATGTCCACTTAGGTGTTGATCAGTTAATACCAATTTGCTGGTGAGTACATGTGGTGCTTATTTTTCCATTCTTGGGATACTTCACTTAATAGAATGGATTCCAGTTCTATACAAGAGGTGCTAGATCACCATTGTTTCTTAGAGCTGAATAGTACTCCATGGTATACATACACCACATTTTATTAATCCACTCATGTATCGATGGGAATTTGGATTGTTTCTACATCTTTGCAGTTGTGAACTGTGCTGCTATAAACATTCACGTGCAGATGTCTTTTTTATAGAGTGTCTTTTGTTCTTTCAGATAGATGCCCAGCAATGGGATTGCTGGATCAAATGGTAGATCTACTTGTATTACTTTAAGGTATCTCCATATTGCTTTCCACAGAGGTAGCACTAGTTTGCAGTTTTATAATCATTTTATTTTCTATGCATTCAAGTGGTACAAAATTCCCTTTAAGCATTCTCTACAGTACAACAAAAGTCATGTTTTCATTTTCATTTGTTCAAAACATTTAACAATTTTTCTTGTGAATTCTTGTTTGACCCATGTGTTATTTAGAGGTGTGTTGTTTAATCCCCAAATAGTGGGAATCTTTCAGCTTTATTTCTGTATATAAAATTTAAAAAAAGGAAAGCAAATTACATTTTAGACAAACCAAAGTTAAAAAAAAATGTCACAAGCAGACTCATATTTTGCTCTATGAGGAATGCTAAATGAAGTTCTTTAGAAACTCAGATCTACGGAAAGGAAGAAAGAGTAACAGAAATGATAAATTTGACTAAATATAAAATATTTTTTAAAATTATTTTTAGACTTATTGAGAAGATACGTGACTGTTTGAAGCAAAAATAATGTAGTCATGGCTTTAAAACATATAAAGTAAAATATATAATAGCAGTAATAAAAAGTTCTGAATAGTTGAAGTAGACATATACTGGTGTGATATTCTTACATTATATATGTGAAGTGTATAATATAACATGGCAGTAGGATTTCAAAAGTTATAGATAAATATTTAATACTATTCTTGCAATTTTCTTGAGAGTTTAAAACAATTTCCAAATAATAAAATTAAAAACAATGAAACGGTTGGGCATATCCTTTCCTTCTAGCACTTCCATGAACACTGGTATGGCTTCTGACTGCCAGCATTTGCATTCCTTTGGACCTGCATTCCTTTGCTGAGGGCTTTCTTAGGCTTCCAGGTCCCTCTTTGTCCCACAGAACTAGGCTTGAAGTGCTATAATTAGCATCAGTAGTTGTTAGCCTACAGCCAATGACTGACAGGAGATGATGCATAAATATCCCTGTCTCAATTGCCCTACTCAGGAAAATAACTCTGAAGGGAATGTTTTACATTGGCCTTCTGAGTTTTCTAGTGAGATTCTATTTCAGTAATCTACACTGATAACTTGGTAACATATCCATTATTGACAGTTTTCCCTTCCCCTTTAATAATTCCTCTCTGGCATTTCATGAGATAATATTAACTACTTATACTGAAATGCAGCCCAGCCTAATTTAAACATACTTCATGAGGTCAGTGAATGAGTATTGCTAGCACCTGCATAATTCTGCTCCTACTATTTGAGTTATAGAGATACAAGATTTTTTTTTCTTCAAACTGCTTTTACCTGTTGACAAACTTTTGTATATACATCATTTATTTAAATTTATTTTAAGCCAATACTATATCATTGCAAAAAGAGTTATAAATGATAACTGAATTGATTGATTTGAAAGGACATATTAATACAGTCAATAAATACCATTAGGAAAATAATTTTCTGTAAATAGTGTTCCAAGAAAGTAAATCCAACATTATGCTGCAGGTTTTCCTGGGTCTTGGGTAAGTTTAAATCTGTTCTTAATGCTTCATATGTAATATTTATAGTTTAAGATAAAATGTATTTATTTAAGTTGGTAATATATCAAATTTCTATGCTTATCCGCATAAAATAAGATTTTGATTAAATAATATACTACCAGGTTCCATTTTATTATTTTGGTGCCAATAATGAATACCTCTCACTTTTGTCCCATAGGAGATATATATATACATATATATATATATATATATATATCTGAGAATTCTTGGTAAACATTAAATCAGAAAAAAATTTTCAGTCCAGTGTGTTTTGAATTAAAATAAGCTATTAATTAATTGGAAGTCTATTTGGAGCTTATTCTTTTGATGTATATCATACAGTAACAAGGAACTAGTATAATTATTTGGGCTTCTGTAATAGCTATACAATGAGTCATCCTATTATTTAAAGTTAACAAATTTTGCTAAACTCATTCATCATTAATGATAGTACTTTTTAATTTATTTTTTTAATTTTTATTTCAGGATATTATGGGGGTACAGACAATTTGGTTACATGTTATGACTTTGCCTCACCCAAGCCAGGATTAGAGGCATGCCCTTCCCCCATACAATGCTCACTGCATCTCACAGAGCAATCTAATTGTTTTTTGAAAATATTCTGAACGAGATACTCAATGCTCTAATGAATTATATCAAAGCTCTTTAAATATTTAGCCTTTCAAGACTCTGATGTGTCATTATTAATGTAAATAGCACATATCTTGTTTTTTTTTCAGCATTTTAAATTTTAATATGTATGAAATATGTTTTTAGTTGGATTTAATTTATGAGGTAAAATCTGAAAAGCATCTCATACTTTTGTTATGACAGAAATGTGGGCTAAATGGATTTTTTAAACTTTCATATTACATACATATTATAAGAATCTATGTGTTTCTGATTTCAATCTGAATTACACAAGAAGAGAACAGTAATATATGAGTTATAGTTTCTAATAGTGAAAACTAATGAGCAACAAAAAAAGCATTCTGAAGGCATGGTAAATAATAATTGGACAGGGTGGAAAATTGTTTTATTATTTGTATCATTACTATATT